AAACCTTTACTCTTAACTGCAGGTTTTGTACGGAAAGATAGAGCTATATTATACACATGCTGGATGTTTAAAAATTCTGCTTGAATCCACATAGGAAGTTACTTTATGTACTTCTCAAAAGCTCAGATTTTTTCTTAAACCACAAAATTTAGCTGATGTCCTCATTACAATGAAGCAGGCTGTTAAAACTCTTAGGGAATACGCTGCCCCCAATCCACTGAGCTCAGCAGGACTTGTACTCACAAAGCGAGCACAAGCATACTCTGCTTCTCTCCCAGTGATCTTGAATGTATTCACAGTAACAGCATCTCTCATTTCCTGACTCTCTCCTGAGTCCTAACGTTTTCTTAGATAAAATAAGGATTCTCATTCCCCCTTCTGTAATGAAGGCTTTCTTCACGTGGGTGACTTTGCATAGCCACATACTGCCCTCCAGCAGCAGACTGCATGAAAGGGGCATCAAACAAGGCCCAAGGGTCACATCCAGACTTCTGCCCGTGGAATTTGTGGACAGGGCCAATAGGGAGTGGGACCTGCCACAGAATCTGTGGCTATGGGGCCCACTGGCAATAGACGGGCAAGCACAGTCGGTGGCAACGCAGTCCCATTAGCCCTGCGGCTACTTATCCCATGACTGCTGGGTCTGTGGCTTTGTGGCCTGCTGCCATTCATCCTGGGGCCACTTGACTCATGGCTGTTTCACCTTCTGCATCCACCACTTCTACCACCATCACTGCTTGTGCCTCCTCTGCTGCCACTTGCCCTGTCACTGGCCCCACTGCTATGTCTAGATCAGTCCCACAAGGAGTCCCATGGTCTGGATCTGGCTCAGGGCATGGGCGAGTTTGACACCTGTGCTTTACAAGAGGGACAAGTCTTGCAAACAATGCATTTGCATCAATGCTAGTAACATGGAGAACCTTGCTGAAATATTTCAATCGCAGTGTGCTCTTTTACTACAATCTCTAAGAGAACAACCTTTCAAAAAATGATTTCCAAAGCCAAAGATCACCTAGTAATAGCCTGTTAAGAGCTTTAGAGGTTACATGTGCATTTCATGGCATGGCAGCATCGCTTTATTTCTAAATGCCCATCAGACACGTAAATTACAGATTAGGATCTCCAATATCTGAGTCACATTCTATGCGATATGAAAAGGAAGCACTAAAGTCTTTAGTTTAGCCAATGGCATGAAAGATAGGAGTCAAAGAGCATTATAGCAGTCAAAACAAGATGTCATTTGTGACCCATTCCAAATATGGAATGCTGACAATTTTTTCAGCTGCTTTAAGGCTGAAAAAAGACCATATCTAAAATATAGCATTCTAACATATAAATAAATAGTTTCAATGATCAAACTGCCCAACTATTTAAAAAAAACACACTCTAATATACTTCTGAATTATTTAATAAATACTGTTTCAATGTAAGTTATTTAAAATGCAGTTCAGAACAGATTTTTATTGCAATTCCAAAAAACTGAGTCCTTGCTGCAGGTTGTACAATTCAGGATTTTTAAGTTATGTTTGAAACGGACACAAGTCATAGTTCCTTAACAGCAATGACATAAATTAATACCAAATTCATGCTCTACCAAAAAAGTTATCAGGGAAGTACAGTATACAGATGTTTTTAATCAAGCAAAATTCTATTCTAATCTCAGTAATTTAGGTTCTTATATAAAATAGCTCATATGCATAGAAATGTGATGTCCAGGTTAGCGGAAACTGCACTGTATTCCAAATGGAAAGCCATATGAAAGCTCAGGTAATTTAGGCCTCAGACTGTCTGAAGTACAATCTGTTTCTAGAGCTGTATTAACATCTGTTTATTAGTATCTAATCAGCCATCCCTCTTGCCTTGAGAAAAATATGCTGCCTGTAGAACAGCATCTCTCAAGCAGTGGTAAACATTAACAGAGCCAGAATGCAAGAGGCAAGAGCCAGCATGCAGATTTTTTTTAAGTTTCTTATTTTCTGGTTTCAGAGAGAGCCCCGGGACAAAACACTTCATCCTTCAAGCCACCCCTTTGGCTTATCAAAGGGTGGCCCTGAAGGATTCTGAAGTAACTACCATTCAGCTCTCCTTAGCCAAGGAAAGGCACAACACAAAACTAGAAGGGGAGTACAGTGCCGCCAAAAAGGCCTGCTGGAATGCACAATCTATACCAGGGGTGGGCAAAATGTGGCCCGGGTGCCGGATGCAGCCCGCCAGGCCATTCAATCTGGCTCACGGGGCCCCTAAAAAATTTAGAAAATGAGTATTTATCTGCCCCTGGCTGCCTGTTATGCTGCCCTCGATGGCTTGCCAAAACTCAGTAAATGGCCCTCCACCCGAAATAATTGCCTGCCCCTGATCTATACAGATGTGGGGGAGCCAGGTCAAATTAATGCGCTTCCTCTTCCAGTGAAGTGCCATTTTGTTTTTTCACATTTGTCAGCAGCCTAGATGGCTATGATTAGGCTAAGTGACAAGTTAGATACAACCACTGAGCTATGAGCCGATGCATATAGTAAAGCATTCTAGTTTTAACGCATTTCATGTGAAAAGCAGACAATAGTAGAATCTTTCATCCCAAAGACATTTCAGGCATCTCCTGGTCTCCTCAGAACCAGCCTTCTACTCTAATTAGATTCTAAAATTGGGACCAACATGTGACTTAAGGACACTATAGAAAAAGAGTTCTCATGAAGGGGATGTTAGAAGCTGGGCCTGCAAATGGGCTAACATAGAAAATGAAGGTACTCAGACCACATTCTAAAATTCACAATAACTTGTACCTGAACACATCTAATTGACACAGATCTTCTAAACTCAAATGAAAATGAAACAATTTCAAACTCCATATCAATACAGTATACAAAGGTATCTCCTTTTATGACATACTGTTCAGGAACTTGGACAAATATAAAAATAAGTTTCAGCTTATATTTATACTTTTCTGTTGATAAGCCACTGCCAACTAAAGTTGCTTTTAAATGACTTAGACCTGCAGGAAATTGGTTGCATGGTCACCATTCTCCCAACTTTCATCCACTTTATAGTTTCATAGTGTTTAGGGTAAGAAGGGACCGAAACAGATCATCAGGTCCACTCCTCTGCCCCGGGCAGGAATGGGTGCCGCGGTCATATCACCCCAGCCAAATATCTGCCCACCCTCCTCCTGAAGACCCCCAAGGTAGGCACCTCATTTGGGAGCCCATTCCAGAGCCTGGCAGCCCTAACTGTAAAGTAATGTCTCCTGATGTCCAGCCTGAACCTTCTCTCTAACAATTTGTGGCCGTTATTCCTAGTAACCCTGGATGGTGCCTAGGGGAACAGAGCCTCCCCCAATTCTCGCTGGTCCCCCCGGTGAGTTTGTAAAATATCCCATACCCACTTCCCATGTATAATACCCCATACCTACACAAAATATCCCACTTCCCATACCCTAATCTCCTTTAAAGTAATATTTCAAGTAGCAGATTGTAAAGAGAGTTTGAACTTGAACAATAAAAGGATTCTGACTCACCAGTATTGCAAGAAAGCACTCACCCTATGCATCATGAGTTGTGAACACTTCAGAGGAAAATTGCAGTTTAGGAGAAATTATACAAGGTGACTAAGTTTTCCACCTCACTCAAAACTGGCCCAATATTGTCCAAAACACTATCTCAGATTATCTGAGTCGTTTGAGAGTCATGCGCTCTTCTAATACTTGGAAGAGACTGAAAAAAGTAGCAGTCATGCCTTTGCCTTTACCAGCTTTCTGGAGAGAAATGTTAGTCAGGTATGATCCTGTCTTGAGCTGGGGGCTGGACTAGATATTCTGAGGTCTCTTTTAGATCTATTTTCCCATGAACTTCCATTCAACTTTTTTTTTACAACTACACATACATTAATACTGCATACACAGCATGTCATGCTCCTTCTATTAAGTTAATATTTTTTTAAAATGCTAATCCTATTAAGTCTAAATCTATATTTTCAGAGTGAAGAAACCCTGTAGCTGCTGCTAACTAGATGACAGATGTCCTAGAGATCTCATAGACCTACCTTGACATGCCTCTGCATGTCATTTGTCAAGCACTTAAGTGTTCACAGTGACAGAGAAAGGAAGAAAATAAAATTTCAGTTCCACCAAGCTCCAAGAAAAACAAAGGCCTAAATAAATACAATACAACCTAATTGCTTTAAATATTTTGTTCAAGTGTATGTAAGGAAATATTTATGCTTCTATTAAGATACTCTAGCTTACATCATCTCAAAAAGGATTACTTGCATTTACTATATTTGTTACTGTAGTTGGGACATGCACTGCCCAACAGAGAACACATCCACAGGTAGATACAATGTTGTTTTGAAGACTGAACCATAAACTCCAGTGTAGCCACTGAAAACAAACTAGAACCAGATCACAAAGCTGACTGGTACAGGCAAATGCTTCATCTATCCAATGTTCCAGAGTAGGACTCTGTGTGGCTGTACCTGTTCTCCTCCACAGAGCACAATGAAGCATCAGCGCTTATATTAATATAGGTATTACTATTTAAGCCGTTAAAGATGCTCGTTTACTGAAAAATATAGTGGCAGACATTGACCAGAACTCCCCAGTTAAACCATTACCTTACTTGGATTTTGTGACAAATAAGAACATAAATGTTACTTCCGTGACATGGATGGCCAGTGTTTCAAAACACTGTCAACATAAATTTAAAAACAATATATGAATCCAAGATAAGATTCTATAATACATACCAAACAAGGAGATACTATTTTTCCTTTTTAATGTGTGTAGCAGGCTAGCTGGCAGAGCTCTGCAGCAGATTGTACACATTCAGCTGTAGCACTGTGCAGATTTGCATGAGCTACAGCCCAGCTGCAGGCAGTTAGGAGTGATTACGGGCTGCCTAGGAGAACTGGGCTAGCCGAGAAAGATAATTAGCTGGCCACAGGAAGTTAAAAGACTCCCAGGGATGGACAGGAAGGAAACAGGAGTCTCTTCTTGGGGTCTAAAGGCTGCAAAGTTGGATGCACCCCTACAGGACTGGAGTCAGGGCCAGGCAGAAAAGAGACTACAGGGAGGAGGAAGCAGCAATGAGCTGGAGGCATCTTCTTGGGGCCACAGGAGAATCAGGACTGTGAGTGCACCCTGTATGGACTATGTCACCTTAACGAGTACTAATTTAATGTTGATGATGGTTCCTGAGAGGCAAGTATGCCCAGAAAATAAAGAACTGTTTGAAGTATAAAGGCTTTTGAGCTAAGCAAACCCCCAAACCCACTACAATGTGCTTTTCCCCAGAATGTTTTCATAACTCTAGTACTGTTAATTTGGTACATAACCACAACCTGCTCTGCAACTCTACCCACTGTTTTGTTGAATGATGCTTTAAAGCTGTAGTGAAACTATAAAACTTAAACTTCTAATGCTTCTAAATAAAAACAGTATCCATACCTTCCCACAGGTAAGATGAAGAAATAACTATTTAATCCAATGCTCTCAATACAAATTAAAACACTGAACTCTGTAAGCCAGCTACCTTGAAATGAGAACTGGGTTTTTGGTTTTAACCATGTTGCTCTAAGGACATAGGCAGGCAAGGTTCTCTGGGTAGATGCGATATCTTCGTTTAGACCAACTGAGTAGTTGGAAGAAAGTTCTTTGCAAGCTTTCAGGTGCAATCACCCTCAGCTGTTATGAAATGAGAACACTTTCATGAATGGATCAGAAAGCTTCAAGTTCTCTCCAGGAATTCTACTAACTTCCTTAACTTAATCCACAATGCATCAAAATCAATTTCCCTATCACAGGATAACTATATAGGATTTATTTTCCACTCTTTCCCCCAACAGATGCACATATCTCAACATCACTCCAGGATGGCTTTTAGACAGAATTAACCAAATGCGCTTCCTCTGAAGTACAATATGAGATGCAACTCACAGAATGGAAGCAAAGAACAATTTAAGAAAACCTCAAAAGGTAAGTGTTCTGTTCCTGGTTAGTCCCTTTTACTTTTCTAAGTGTTAAAGCCTATAAGAAAGAGAACTATTCTTTATTTTCAGCCTGGTATTTGTTGATCAGTCAACGAACCCAGGATTTGTGCATCCTGGTCAGCAGCTTGTCCAGGCATTAGTGTTTTGCCTGTACTCAGTTTCTGATTTGTTCCAAGCTGTTGCACAATAGGATTTTTCAGACATTGCCTGGTGTACCTTCATACAGATATAAGGACTCAATTTTGCAATAACCATCAAAGTCATAAAGAGGAGGAGTCAGTCACTTTAAAAACCACATTGACCGACATCCTCCTCCAGCCTTGAGAAACACACACATCATATCAAATCAGACTGGGAGAGGCACCACTGGTTGCATGGTTTGGACACAGAGTGATTCAAGGACATGTAAGTTGTTCCTTTTGGCATCCTCAGGTACTTGGCTCCAAGGTCAACTGAAATTATTAGCATGTAGACTAACACTCCAAATGGAAACTCCACAAGGTCCACATGACCTCAGGCTTGTTTCAGTAGAACAACTGCTAGAAATTATAGCAGCAAAGGGATTTTTAGCATCACAGAGCACCATCACCAGACAGAGAAGCAGAGGGAGTTAGACTATAAGTGGGAAATGTATTCCACACATTCCTGACTATTTGCATAATTTAGAAGTAGCCCAAACTAAATATTTACAGACATCAATGTGCATAGGTCAGAATTTTCATCTGCTTCATTGACAGTAAAGGGACTAAATGGCACCTAAAGTTCACTTCTTAGTTTTTCACATGAGACGTTGGTTCAGATTTGACTAGACATCACAAGTGAGTTCAACACTGTGAGATTAGTATCCAGGAAATGATTCTTCACATTATGAAACTATTATTGGGTTAGCAGCCTTTGCTAACAATTGTACTGTGCTACACTGTACTTGCATACATAATGCTTCAATTTCCACTTCAGCAATACTTAAATTTTAAACTAAGTTGTGAGTAATAAAAGAAAAGCTTAGTTATACCCTGACCACGTAAGAAAGCAAGCATTATACAAAAGGGAAGACAAACAAAAATGGCTTGGAGCTTTAAAAAAAAAATAGACTAGATGGTGCTAATTTTAAAAGGGGAGTTAGAGCAACACTGAAAAGAGAAATACCTTACAACCTCATACAAACAAAACTTTATGTGAAAGTAGCGTGTAACACTGCTGTAACTTAAAAGACTGAAGAAAAATATTTTCTTTTGCTGTTTACTTTCTCATTTGACAGCTATCTCAAGTCAGCTTTCCCCTGTTTACAAGCATGCCTCATGTACACAATAACAGGGAAGATAAATATTTTAAGAAAAGAGGAAGATGCAACTATAAAACCACAACAGGGGAGCAGGGGGAAGAGGTACAGAGACAGCTGTAGAACCTGAAGCCACTCCGAGCTCTTCATCTTCTAGATACAGCACTGAAATATCAAATAAGGAAAAGCTTGCGTCGGACTTCTCTATGAGCCAAGATGACTCTGAAAGGTTGACAACATATTTTGTTTGAGTTTTGAGTGTGCTTAGACTACATTCTTAAGAAAGCAGAGAAGAATACAGTATATTCTGACCTCTTAAACTAGAACAAAGCCTTCATAATACATTCAAAGCCAATTCTGCTCAACTATTATGAATTGGATTCTAACTAACCAAATGCACGGGACTAAACAGGAAATGAACACTTCAATTGAAGTGCTCTCTTTATTTCTAAATATAAACTGTAACTCAAATGACAAAGTGCCTAATGATGCTCAATCCTATGCATCAGTAATACATCTCAATATCCATTAATGAGGAATGCCATGCAAAAGGCAGACAAGGTTCTTTGGGTAAATCTGATATCTCTTATTAAACCAACTCAAAGAGTTGGAAAAATTCTTCTTTGCAAGCTTTTGGGTACAAAGCCCCTTCATCAGGCCGAGGAAGCATCTGCAGTTGGTCTATACTCTTCCTGAAATATCATGCAATATACCCTGTTCTTTTGAAAGTGCATCTTAGATGCATTTACATCAGAACTTTTTACTTCATAGAAAAGTATAGGCTTCTACACTACAGTGCAGCAAGAAAAAGTAACCACATCTTCCCAAAACTGCCCCTGAACAGCTAAGAGGCTCCATGCTTCTGAACTTTCTCTGCCCAGGAATAAACTTGAACTTCTCCCATCCCCTAACATATAAACTAGATTTCAGCTGGCTAGAAATCCACTTCAAATATTTTATACTTCCTCTTCAACGCTCATGATTATTTAGTTAAGGAGTAGTGGCAAAACACTGAGTTTGTACACAGCAGCATAAACCCAACAGCCTTTGACCTAGTCCTTATTACAGGCGACTGGAACGTACCCACTGGGTCAACTTCATTCAGGCTCCTCCACCACAGCCATTGCCAAATGATGGCTGTTTGGCACTGTCACACGGTGCGATAAGGAAACTCGGTACAAAAACAACACTGTGCAACTTTGCCTCACAAACGGAAGCCCGTAATAGAAAATAAAACAAATGCACAATCCTCTTCAGCTCCACAACACTGTGCAACTCTTCTTCACAAATGGAAGCCTGTACTAATTATATAAATAAGTCATATATAAATTTTAAAAAACCCCCAAAATTCCTGCTTCAGCTCCAGCAGTTGTTATCTGCAGCCTCTCAGCTTTGAAATACTACCCCATGGAAAAGTGATGGGAACACCAAATCCTGGCCTACAGCCTAGCCTCCCCAGCGGAAAGACCTGCAGCTTCCACGGCTGGGTCCGGGGCTCCAAGATTGGACTCTGCAGTCACCCCAAGACCCATCTATGAGGCGAGGTGCGGATCATCCCCCAATCGAGGGGCTGCTGCCGATGAAAACCAGCACTTGACACTAGTGATAATAGAAACATTGACTATCTACCCCTTCTTTCCACCCCCTTTTCATTTCGGGCCATAGGAACGGAGACCAAAGACAGCTAAAGCAGAGGTTCCCAAACCCTTCCTTATTGCACACCCAGTTCCAGATGGACCAGCGGCCCGTGCGTACCCCCACCAGCGTACACTTGATATTTTAACCCCCTAAGTGCCAATTATTCACAGACTCATAGAAAATGAGGGAGCTCAGGAGGTCACACCTGCTCCAGGCAGGACCAGCCCCGACTGCATCATCCCAGCCAAGGCTTCGTCCAGCCGCGTCTTAAACACCTCCACAAGGACGGACCCCTCTGGGTCACCCGTGACCGCTCTCTCGGTGCTTCACCACCCTCTTAGTGTTTCCTAATATCCAGCCTCAACTTCCCTCGCTGCAGCTTGAGCCCATTGCTCCTTCTGTCGCCTGCCCCCACTGAGGACAGCCCGGCTCCATCCTCTCCCCCCACCCCCGCAGGCCACAATTCAACCCCCCTTGGTCTTCTCATCTCCTGGTCGAGCCCCCTTTCCAGGCGGGGCTGGACCCCGCGATGCGCGAGCCCCCCCCCCCCCCCAGCCCTAGCGTCTATGAAACCCGTGAAATGAGCCGGCCGGTCCTCGCGCGCCACGTCCCGCTGCCCTTGCCCCGCGCGGACCCTCCCCGACGCGCCCCTCCTTTCTGCACCGGGGCACAACTGGACACGGCAATTAACGAATGTAATTACAAGGAAATGAACCCCGCCCTGACACAATCCCCCACGCCCCCCGGGCACGGGGCGCACTTCTTGCACTACGGATTTTTTTGGGGTGGGGGGGGTCCACATTTGACAGCACCACCGAGCTGGGAGGGGGAG